CGATAGATGATTGGCTAAAGAAGCTGTGATACATATATACAATGGAATATTACCCAACCATAAGAAGAGATGAAATACTGCCATTTGCGATAACAGGGATGGACCTCGAGATAATCATGCTAAGCGACATAAGCCAGACAGAAAAAGTTGAAAATCACATGATATCACTTATATGTGGGATATAAACCTAAAAGCAACAAATGAGCAGGACAAACAAACAGAGACTCGGGGACATGGACTATAGACTAGTAGTTACCAGAGGACTATAGACTAATGGTTACTAGTGAGGTGGAGGAGGTGGGAGAACGTAGACGGAGTAAAAGGGGTCAAATATAGGGGGACAGAGGGAGGGTGAAGTGGGTAAAGGGGATCAAATTTGTGGTAGCTGAAGGAAACTGGACTTTGGGTGGTAAACATACAATATAATATAAAAATGTCAAATGATAGTGTACATCTGAAAATTATATATTGTATTAACCAATTTACCCCAATAAACAATTTTTAAAAAGAATGATATATAAACTGAAATCCCTAAACACTGGGGTCCCCTACTCACTGCCTTTCCATGTCTCTCAGTGTCCCTCTCACTGTCCCTCTTTCCATCCCGCCCTCAGTACTCTTTATCTCTGTCTTGTCTCTCTTAGTCCTTCTCACTCTTTGCCTCTGAAAGGAGACCACATTGTCTGTGGAATGTTATCCTTTTCCTAATAAACTTTCCTTTTGACTCTAACTTTGGTTTGTGTGTTGAATTCTTTCTATACTCTCTCTCAAAGGACTCTCTTCTTTCCATGCAGGACTTGGTCTCCCTGCCAACTCGGGGAAATTTGCCTTGTCTTGCATCACTAGTATCTATAGTGGCTAATAAATTTCACAGAACAGTAGTTATGTGATGCACAGAATCATCAGCATCCCCTTATTAACAGTTTCCAAACCCAGAGGGTGAGAGATACAAACAACCCTAAACCTCTCATGGTCCCCCACCAAAGTGAAGTATTATCGCTTCTTTGAGGACGAGAGAAAGCAGAGTCTAATTTAAGGCCATAATTGTCCTTTGGATTCTCCCAAATAGTGTTTCAGTGATTTCCTCACACTTGAATTGCTCCTATCTGTTTTCTGGGGAAGCTAGGTAGCCCTTATCCTGTGGATTATCTATACTCAGAATTATGGGGCTCCCTCCTGCTTTCATCAACTGTTTATTTGGCACATAGCACATAACAAGCTCAGAGGATACAGTGGAAAACGGGTCAGTCAGATGGAGCCCCTTCCCTCAGAGTCCACCCGCTAGCAGGGATCAACTTCCCTGCTCAGACAAAGTCCTTTCTCTCCTCACTGGTGCCTAACGCCACACTCTCTTAAGTTTAGTCAGAAAGAATTGCCCAAACAGCAGTTTCTTAAAAAGTCAACATAGTTTTGAAAAAAGGTATTTACGACTTGGCTATTTAGAATATTTACTGATTTACAAATTCTGGACGATACGTTCTGCTCCAACTTGTAATGCAGGCTCACTTGGCTGACCTGGAAACTAGAAAATGTTAAGATTGAATTCAAATCAAGTATTTCAGAAATCTAACAGGTGAAGCCTAACTCTGGTTGCTAGGCAACCTGACAGACTCTCGGGCGGGGCCTAACTTACCTCTCCCACACTTGACCACCTCTCCCCAGTGGTGGGACGCGGAGGCCCCATTGGCCCCCATCTCCTCTCACTCGGCTCCAATTGGTCGAAAAACCTCTCACTCCGCTCCCGTTGGCTCTCGCCGTCTCGCGCCGCTCTGTCATTGGCAGGCGGGCTCTCGGGCCACCCGACGTCACTCTCTCACCCCACTTCCTCGGCCCTCTGCCTTTGTCCCCGCCCCTTCCCCCGCCCTTCCAGCCCTGAGGGAAAATCCTAGTGAGAGGCTGCCTCTACTCTCCTTCCGATTGGTAGAAGCTGGACTGGGGGGCGGGCACTACCCGGCTACTCTGCCGGCCACGATTGGCTACTGGAGCCACTGTCCCGCCTCCCACCGACTCCCGGCGGTGCCGGAGTCGGGTTGGTGGGCTGCTATAAAGCTGTTGGCGGAGGGTAGGCGCCACATACTCCACCTTGGTAGCTCGCTCTTTTTCCTTCAGTACCACCTGATCACCTTTGGGTGAGTTCCCGGTGCAAAAGACCAGAGCTGGACTGCTGAGGGGCCGCGGGCGGAGTGAGGGACGGGAGGAGGCGGTGTCCTTGACTAGGCCCGAAGGAGTTCTGGCTCCGTCCGGGTCAGGGCGGAGGTGTGGACCTATCCCGGGAGGATGGGGCGCCGTGAGTTGGGGCCGTGCGGGGCCGCCCCTCGCAGGCACCTGGGGCCCACTGCGGCGGATCTGAGGTGGGGCCAGGGACCCTGGTGTGGGTAGGCGGGTTGCGGGGGGGAGAAGGCAAAGAACGTTGAAGACGGTGCCCGTTACCGCCGTGAGGGGATGGAGGGGGAACATCAAGAGGGGACAAGAAAGGAGCTGGGCTGTCAGGGCGTTCCCGGAGCCTTGGGTAAAAGGTGGCCACCAAAGGGTGGGGAAGATCACACTTAGGTTGTAGGTTGGCGGGGGGTGTGTCTTCCTGCCGCCACGTTTAGAGAGTTAATGGGAGAAAGGAAAGTAGGCAACATTACTTTTATTTTCAAGCTCAGGTGCAAGAAAGCACCACAACCGTGATTTAAAGCGCCTGAGTATTTGTGCTCTTGACTGCTTCGCTCTTTGCTTCAAATATCACAGATTCCTGCCTCCCACCTTCCTTCCGGCATCCATGTTTTTATGCCCATTTTTTAAAAAATTAGGGTTCTTCAGTGTTCTGACAACCTGTACCTCCCTGCTAATAGCTTCAGGACCAGCCTGACCTGTTAGGATGGTGTAATGGGCAGGCATCCACAGTCAAGGACTTCTCAAAGCGAAGTATATGGAGTCTTTGAAAACGTGTGTCCTAACTTGACCAGTGGTAGAGAAAGGATTGCTCTGACCCATCTTGGAGGAGGGATTTGGACAACAGGTAATATGAGGTGTCTGCTTGTCATGCTCGCCCTGTGGCTTTGGTCTTTGGTCTTTGGCTTCTTTCGATGCTCATTTCTGCTGCAGCTTTTCCCTTCTGCTAATGCTCTTGCCAACATGCTGCAGTAGGGTGATGTATTCTGCTGAGTAACGTCTGCTCTATTTCAGGAATGAATCATGAAAAACAATGGCAAGATAAATGACAAAGTTAAGACAAATAGTAGTTAACATATTTCCTTCTGAGTGGGCTTTTATTGCACAGATTCTATCAGAAGGCAGGTTGAAAGTCCTTAACATGTATCTGTGCCAAATGGTTTTTTGCAGCTTGAGACATCTAAGCAGTTTGTGTTCTTTCTTTGATCAAAACTTTATTTTAAAACTTCAGGTTTTTTTATGCATAAGGAGAACAGAATCAACGTGTCTTACGATAGAGGAAAAAAACATTTTGTTGTAGGTTTCTTCTAAATTGGAAGTTTTCCCTTTTTTCAATTCTAGTTTAGTTCAGTCAGTTCTAGTTTAGTCAGTAACCCCAGTTCTCGGAAGGTGTTTCCAATGGAGAGAGTTAAATTGGTGTTATGTTCAGGGCCATAGAAGTCCACTTCATCTTTTAAGCTAATTCTGGGCATTGCTTTTTATCTTGTTTACTTAAACATTCCTCCAGAATGTTTTTACATCTTATTTCCCTTAATTAGGTTTGATTTTTTTAAGACTTTTTTGATTGAGATTTTAGATAGCTTTTCTTCCAGGAAATACAAAACCCTGATATTGATATAATATGTTTCCTGGGTACCCTAGATTTATTTAAAATCATAATCCAGTGGGACTGAATGTGGGGCGATACAGTTGCGCTTGTGGATAGAGGAGCTTGATAGGCTGAATTTCTATTTAGTTTCATTTAGAAAGGACTATAGAGTCTTATAATTTTATGTTGGGTTACTAAAAAACCAAATATAGAAGCTGTGATATTTTTATGTTTCTCAAGAAGGTGATATAGATTAAAAAGGTTGAGAAACATATTACCCAATCTTATGCGAAGGTGGTAAGACTCAATTTCTAATTTATTCATCCTAATGCTTGGCACATGGTGGTGGTCACTTGCTGTCAACTGAGTATAGTTAGAGCAGTAGGGGAGCAGGTACTCTTTCAAGCTTCATTTTTGCAGGGTTTGTGATTGGGGATGTGTGCATGTGGGAATGATTGTAAGACCAACAAATGTTCTCTTCTGATTCCATTTTGACTTCTTAACATTTCTCAGGTTAGGATTTGAGAACAGTTGAAACCTACCATTTACTTTGAACAACAGCAGTAGAAAGCCAATTTTGTGGGAGCTTATTTGGTGCTGCAGCTCATCTTAAAAGTGATAGCAAAAAGAACTTACTAATGAGGGCTGCCACAAATATTTGAATCTACAAGATTCGTCCTCTAATTCAGGGATCCCCAACCCCTGGGCTGTGGACTGGTAACAGTCTGTGGCCTGTTAAGAATTGGGCTACACAGCAGGAGATGAGCAGCAGTTGAGCAAGTGAAGCTTCATCTGTATTTGCAGCTGCTCCCCAGTGTTAGCATCACCTCCTCAGCTCCACCTCAGATCATCAGGCATTCGATTCTCATAGGAGCACTGGTCCCTGGTGCCAAAAAGGTTAGGGAACAGCGCTATAATTGTTTTAACTTCAAATTCAGCCCCTCAAAAAATGGCAGTTAAGTGCTCTTTACTCTAAGGTTGCACAGGGATTTCAGAAGAATCAAAGTACAGCTTCTCTCCTGAGAGGAGTCTAGGAACCCAGTGTGGATAAGAAGACTGGCCATAATTAGTTTTCTATTGCAAGTAGAAAATATGAAGACTTTGGTGTGAATGACATGCCTGCTGTAGGAGTGCAAGGCTCTGGTTAGAAAACGCTAGGAAATCTTCCTGGAAGTAGTAGCTTAGAACAGGGCCTTGGAATATGAGTAGAACCTCTAATAAGTAGACCAGTAACTCTAGGGGGAGGCAGGGATGTTCATGTTTTTATACTTAGAGAACTAGACCAGACTGTACAGGTGTAGGCAAGACTTTCTTAACATCAGTTTTGCTTGCTTGCTCTTATGGAAGAAAGGCAGTTTATTCTCAATTTCCTGGATTTCTCTCCTGTAATAGTGAAAAAGATCATCAGATAATTGCTTATAGTTTATAACGTACTAAAATATGTACTGGATGAACTCCTCTGACCACCTGTTTGAATCAAGGCTGAGCCAGCAGGAAGAATTCAGAACACTGACTAAACCCCAGAAGAAGGCACCATTGCATGAACCTAGTTGGCTCTAGGCAGTCTCATCATTCTTCAGTTAATCTTTGCCAAACGCAAAATTCATGTGCTGAATTTTGGGAGTCTCCAAACATGCTTTTTGGTAACTTGCCCAGACCCTTAATTCATTAACTGCTTCCTGACCCATGCTTCTTCCCTCAATCACTTGCTCTGAAAACACTTTCTGTTAAAAATAAGCTGATGATAACCTGTTTGGGGACTTTGGCAGTGCTGTTTTAGTCAGAATAGAGAACACTTCTAGCAGCTGCAGAAGAGAATGGAAAGCCTAATCCCTCTCTGATAGACTCTTCCCCAATATAGCATTCACTGCCTGCAATGGTTCTCCAGGCTTCTCTTTTCCCTGAGGGCTTAAGTAGCACAGCCTCCTCTGTGAATCTGTTTTCCCTTTTATTTCTTTCTTTGCTCTAGTACCCACTCTCTCTTCCCTCCTTATCCCTCACTTTCTCTCCCTCTCTTCCCTCTCCCCCAACCTACCTCCCTAATTTAAATAATCAAAATTGAAAGAAGAAATATTGGCAGTTCAGGGGAAATTTCTTTAGCATAAATAATGTCAAATGCAGATACGTACATGGTTTCAAGAAGAAATATCACATTTTTAAGTAGTGTCAACATGGAGAGGGAATCATGTTTTCCCACCAGTAACAACTCGTACCTGTGGTCTGCTTAATTTTCAGATTACAAAAGCATAATTTTCGGCAATAAAGAAAATAGATTATTTTCTCAAAGCATATATAGAATACCTTAATCAGAAGTTTTTTGGAATGTAGTAGTCTTTTTCTATAAAAATCAGAATTTATTTATTTTGGAGGACGAGGATAAATGACACAAGAGGAACTAAGTTTGTAAAGAGCTCTAAATGATCTAATGATGTAAAAATAAAGCTTTATTAAATAGTGCCTGAATGTAGTCTCTGGGCAGATGCCAAACTGGCCAGTAATTAGAGAGCAAAGGAAACTGTTTGTTAAACATAGGAACTATTGTCTCAAGTAACAATCCAACAAAACAGATGGACTAGAGAAAATGCTCCAAAGTCATCTTCCATTTTATTTCCACATAATTTAAATGATGAAGCTTGATGTTTCTTTGCCTTGATACATCAAATACTTATCTTTTTAATAAAAAAAACTAAGGAGAAAGTCACTCTAAAAGTTGGGGAGGGCGAAGGTGGCCGAGTTGAAAACTAGGAGCATAAGATTAAATGAAGATAATAAAATTTCCTGGAAATGAGAAAATCGAGGCTCAAAGAGACATTGTTAACGCTGCAAAGTCCTAAGTGCAGAGCAAGCTCTTGAATGTATCTCTTTACTCCAGAAGTTTGTTAGCTTAGTACAACTTACTTTATTCCTTTTCCCCAATTCTTGAAAACTCAAATTTAAGAATACAACTCTCCCAGCATCATACTCGGTTCAAAGCCTGAATATGAACTTCCATCAATTGATTATAGAACAAATTCTGTTCTACACAATGTAATTGGACAAGAAAATGTTTATTTTCACTCACTTTGAATTAGAGTCAAATTATTTGAATTCATGTGGTAATTTATGACTTTAAAAAAGTTCTAATTTGAAATTCCTAGTGCCTGAAGGAGAAAACAGTGACAGACCTGGAGACTGAAGTTCTTTATCCATTACACAGGTATGGCATCCTGTCATGCTTTTAAAGGAAAGTGTTCTCTAAAAAAAAGAGGGGGGCGGATTTAATTTTTATCCTAGGGTAAATAACTATTCATATGCATCACACATTCTTAAAACCCCTTGCAATGTTATATCTCATCTTTAAATATTAGTTAATGCTATAACGCTTCAGCAGACTGTCTAATTTTGTGTTTTTTAGACTAATGGTTTAAATCTAGGGCTAATTTTAAAAATGAGTGTTCATTCATAAGAGAAAAAAAATCTAGATGAATATAACCACGCAAACTACTTAATCAGAAACAATCACAGGCAAGCATTTATACCAGTAGTGCTTTTTAAATTACAGCCTCAAAAGATAACATATCTGGGCTATGGATAGATTTTTATGATTATGTAAAATTGGACAGTGATTGCAAATTTACTTGAACCAATAATCTAATTATTTGCATTCATTGCTTTCCGTATTGCCATGGCACTCTTATGATTCTGGTTTTTTTGGGGGGGTGTGTGCTTCAATATTATGATTTCCTAAGTTTGTTATTGATTTTAGATTAAAAGGCTAGTAGGAGTTTATTAATTCAACATTCAACTTCTACTATATGCCAAGAACTGGGCTGGGTACCAGGGACACAAAGATGAACAAAATATAATTCCTGTTCTCTAGAAGCTCCTCATCTAGTACAAAGAGGCTGACCCTAAATAATAGAGAAGAAACTTAGAGTAATTTTAAATAACATCTTGGCAAAAGTCAGATGTGCATTTTGGAAAAGTTAGCCTAGGGCAGGGGAGAGAGTGAAGGTAGAGAGCTTACTTAGGAGACTGGCATCATACTCCTTGAGATTAATGCCGAAGTCCCTCCCTTCCCCAGCCACTGAGGGGCTAGGTCAAGGCTACCCTTGTGTCAGCATCCTCAGCTGATTTCCCTGCCTGTCCTATCCCCCCTATCCCCCTGCCTTTTCCAGTTCCCTTTCATTCACAGATTTTAAATATTCTCAGGAGCATATTGGTCCCTTTTGGTCCCTTTTGTGTCCTAGAAAATAGGACCTAGAGCTTCTTTTCTCCACCAGAGGGAGTGAGCCTTCACTTTAGAATAGACTTAGAGTTCTGTGGTAAGTGTTCATTTTCCCTCCTTTTTAAAGATGAAATTTAAAAAGAAAATTTACACATTTTATCATAAATACAGAATTCTCATCCTGCTTAGACTTTTTTTCTATTGTGACTACAATGCTCTGAAAAATAGTGAAATACCTTTTTATCAGCAAAAAATTAAAAAGATATGCAGGTAATTTTTTAAATTGTCAAAATTTAAACTTCATTCTATTTAGAAAATTTTTTTGTGATGATTAGAATAGCGAATTATTAACCAGAATATCCCCATTCTCTGTGGGATTAACACCATAATATGAAAATCTCAGATCTTTAGCTGGCCTTTATTTTCCTTTTTCTAATATGTATGTGGCCTACTTCAGAGAGCATAGGAGAGCATGCACTTAATAGGATAAAGATTACAGACCAGAAACTATATCAAAACTTTTTGTTGTTCGAAATCCCACAGAAGCAATTACTTCTCTGTATTAATTTTTCCCTTTCCCTTCTTAATCTTACTTTTCTTCATTTTCAACTGAAAGCTAAATATTTCACGTTAGATGGCTTTTTACCAAGAGTATAATGAAAAGAGCCAAGAGGATAAGCAATATTGACAATGTAGAAATTTTTCCCATACCGAGATCAGAGTCATGATTTAATTTGATATGTATAGGTTATTTTAGTTAAGCTACATTTTCTTTCCTGAATGAAGCAAGTCATTTAACCTCTAGGAGGTTTAAGAATAACACTTTATTTTGTAAGTGCCATAATTCAAGAACTAGTCAGTTATAGTAAATGTGATACATATAGATTAATTTTGGATTTAAGCCTGGCATTATAGCTTTTTGTAAACTTATTTATACCTTCAGAAGATTATATATACTAGTCCGTTTTATTTCCAAAAACATTGCAAGCTTTTGGGTCAGGCAAGGAAAATGAAACTGTCCTTAGCATGTTTAGAGCAGTTGGAAGAGCTCAAAGAATCTGAAGGGTAACCTTGTGGAAAAGGCTGGGAAGGTTGGTTAATCCTACTGCCGCTGCTCTAGTGATTTAGAAGCTAGTATATAGGAGAGATTCCTCTTATAAGTATATGGACTAGTCTTTTTTTTTTTTTTTAAACACTGGTTGTAGAGCTCTTTTCTGTGGACTATGCAGAAGACAGTCATATTTTACTGTAAACTTAGAATCTGTATAGTGACATTAGATAGTCCTTTTATGTCTTCATTTCAACTTCATTGTAGCAAAGTAGATTATAAAATTGATGAGTTTGCGTGGGAGAGGGGAAAAGTAGAACAAAGTGGGGAAGTGCCTCTGTTCACTTAGTGTATCCAACAGTGAGCTGGTCAAGTCAAAACAGTTGAGGCTCCAAATCTGGGAGTCATCGTAAACATTTCCTTCTTTTTCTGACGTTTAGTCAATCACAATTTCTTCCAATTTTTTGATTCTTCCATATTTTTGAAGCTCATGCAGTAATTGCTCTAGTTCGTGACCTATGTCTTATCTGCTCTATCAGCTTCCTAACTCAAATCCACTCACTAGACAGCACCTAATATCGGCATACCAGAAACTTTATGATCTGATCCTACCTGATCTACTCATTGGACTTTAAATTTCACTTCAGTAAATTAGCAAAATTTTTATAGTTCCTTATAGTGTGCCTTTGTTTATGTTCCACCCTGTTGAAAATCTTCCACCACCATCTGCTCCTGCAGAGCTCTACCAATTATTCCTATTCATTCCTAAGACTCAAGTCAGGCACCAGTAACTGAAAAGCCTTCTCACTCCTCCCCCAGCCACCAGGCTGGGTTAGGTAATTCTCCAAAACATAATGTGACTGTCCATGTTGTTTATTATATTATTATTTGTTTTTATCTTACTGTCCCACAAAACAGTGAATGTTTGAGAGGGCAAAGATCATCTGTTAAACTTATCCCAAATGTTTGGCATGTACATGTCATTGTTCAATGAATAGGGAAAATGTAAATAAGATTCTAGTATTTAGAAGGAAGATTCAACCGGTATCTCTTAAGACTTTTAACTTAGATTGTGTGATTATATTTCAAGGTGCTTATTTTTTAGGTTGATGACCTATGGGCTAAGTGTAGATTTCATGATTTAAAATTAGCCTTTCTACTTCAGATATTCTCTCAAGATTTTAATAATTAACTCACCGTAGTAGTAGTCTGTAATTTCATTATACCTAACACTATTCCCAAAATTTGCAGTGGCAGAAGACATACGACATAAATATAAGATTTGACTTTTCATTGTTAGGAGTCAAATTATTGTCGAATTGGCAAATGCTGTAGAAAGTTAGTGAACCAGTTTGACCCAGGTAAACTCTCGTAAGCCAAGACCTTTATGTCAATGAAGGTCTGAAATTCGGCCACTTAAACAGCACCATCCAATTATGTGATACCTAAACAGGAAATTGCACCACTCTTCAAAGCCTGACAGCAGCATTTCTCTTGACTCCTATGACATGTGCATTTTGGTTAGACTGCTGATGGAAGTACTCAAGTGCGATTAGAAGGTGGGAAGAAGTAGCCATCTTGTTTGTTTGTCAGTGGCAGCAGCTGCAGTCTCTGGGTTCTAGCTCAGCAGCAGAGGGGCTGGCTGGTACTGGTGGTTCCAGCAGCTTCAGTGGAATGCAAGCTCATGGGATCTGAATAACTGCCTGCCTTTGCTCCTGTAGCCCGGCCAACAAGTTTGTAACCATTTCCCTGTATTGAATTCCCTCCATCTGTTTGAAATATCTAGAATAATTTCTCTTTTCCCGATTAATACAACTGCTATAGAAATTTAGGCTCTGGTAGGTTATGTGACTTGCCCATAGGCACATAACAATGACCTTGATCAGCTAGCACTTTTTTTTTTATTGTTGGTAAATAAATCTAGACACTACTAAAGGTTTACAGTGTGTCCAACTTTTTAGTGCTCATTTTAAAAAAGAAGGGGCAATTTTAGGAGGTTATTTCATAGTTGGTTGCCACACTAATATGTGGATTCCAGTTTTGAAATTTAAATCAGAGTTGTTTTTTCTAATTTGGAAGCTACGTGATACCTTGTGGTTTTATGATCGTTATTGCCTATATACTAGCTGTAGAAAGTATAGAATATTGACATTTGACCCTGCGATAGGTCCTGAAACTTGTCTTTCCTTAAAATTTTAAACATCTGGGTTATAGGTAGGGGGTTCTTTGGAAGGGTAGGATTATAATATGAGAGGCATGTACAGATTGGCTTGGCAGACTTCTGTAGGATGGCTTTTCTACTTGCTGGGATTATTTAGCTCTAGATCAGTAAAGAATGCATTATTGTTTGATCTAACAATTTTTAAAATCCTCTAAAGTCAATAGCTGTGAATAATCAACATACCTATAATGAATGAATGAATGACTTATTTAAACTTCTTTGGGTGGCCAGGAATAGATCAGGTACTTGAATTCTAATTTGTGGGCCACATTTAAATTGTCATTGTATTTCATCTTATAGTTCTTTACAACATGGAAGAATCTAATTTAAATATTTTCTTCTAATAATCGTGTTTTAAATCTAAAGATGTCTAGTTTGGAGGAAAGCCTTTCTGAAAGACAACAATTTAAATAATAGTATTCCATTCATACTATAATTGCTAGGTCCACATATTTTTAAATGACTGCTATAAGTAAAACATGCTAAATTTAGAAACTAATATATCAAATGATTGTTGAACTCTTAATGTTTTCTCAAGTTTGAACTTGACAACCTGCAATTTATAACCTGAAACAATGTTTTTTCTATTTTTCTTTCTGAAGCTCTTTCACCATGCCTGGGTCACTTCCTTTGAATGCAGAAGCCTGCTGGCCAAAAGATGTGGGAATTGTTGCACTTGAAATCTATTTTCCTTCTCAATATGTTGATCAAACAGAATTAGAAAAATACGATGGTGTAGATGCTGGAAAGTATACTATTGGCTTTGGCCAGGCCAGGATGGGCTTCTGCACAGACAGAGAAGATATCAACTCTCTTTGCATGACGGTGGTTCAGAATCTTATGGAAAGAAATGGCCTTTCTTATAATTGCATTGGGCGGCTAGAAGTTGGAACAGAAACGATCATTGACAAATCAAAGTCAGTGAAGACTAATTTGATGCAACTCTTTGAGGAGTCTGGGAATACAGACATAGAAGGAATAGACACAACTAATGCATGCTATGGAGGCACAGCTGCTGTCTTCAATGCTGTTAACTGGATTGAGTCCAGCTATTGGGATGGTATGTTGCATGCCTTTATTCCAAAGAAACTCCTTGAGGATGAATAGGCCAAAATAACCTTTTAATTAATGCCATATGCAAACTTTTATCAGTTAAGCTTCTTTGAATATATTTAGGAAGATAGCTATGACTTTCAACTCATCTGAATTACGAACTGTTTATCGTGTAGGACAAAATCATTAAAATTTAATCAGACCTTTTTTCTTTATCAAATATGGGAAAAGCATATTCTGGGGAAAATTTCAGTTTACATGTCTGATATTTATAGTGTTGATCACTTTCTTTTGTACTAATAAAAGGTTTTTTTTTTTTCCAGGACGGTATGCCCTAGTAGTTACAGGAGATATTGCTGTATATGCCACAGGAAATGCTAGACCTACAGGTGGGGTCGGAGCTGTTGCTATGCTAATTGGGCCAAATGCTCCTTTAATTTTTGACCGAGGTGAGTATTTGGGAGTTGTGTGTGTGTGTGTGTGTGTTTTAATTAGCACAATATGCTGAGAAAGTTGAAAATAGAAGCTAGCACTTACCGAGTGTTCATTCAGTGCTAGCACTGCCTGCTAAATGCTTTATACGTGTTATTGTATTTAGACTTCATAGCAATTGTATGAGGTAAGTGATGTTATTCCCACTTTATAGAGAAGTAAAATGGGTTTAAGTAATAGCTTAATAAAGTAACTTGCCTATAGTCACATAGTAAGTGGCAATTTTAATTTGTTTTCAGTTCAGTAAATCAATTGTAATCTCCCAGTCAGATAAACAAAACTTGAATGAAAATGTTGTATATCAAAGGAGCCTTGGGCCTGTCCATGGATAAGATTATATGTTGTTTCAACTATATATTGGTGGCACCTTCTGATTCCTACACTGCAAGTGGTGAGAGTTGACTAGATAGTTAAGAAAGGCCCCTGATAATGCAATATGCTCACTGACGTACAAACATCAAGAAGCAGAAATACATGGACATCTTCCTTTTTGGTTTTAATAGGACTTCGTGGGACACACATGAAACATGTCTATGACTTTTACAAGCCTGATATGCTTACTGAATATCCTGTAGTAAATGGAAAACTCTCCATAGAGTGCTACTTCAGTGCATTAGACCGCTGCTATTCTGTCTACCGCAAAAAAATCCGTGCCCAATGGCAGAAAGGTGGGTTTTGTTTTTTTGTTTGTTTGGTTTTTGGTTTTTGGTTTTTGGTTGTTGTTTTTTTTTTTTTCATTTTCCTTGGCTTGGTATTTACTGAGGATGGTATATGTTCTGGGTGTCTTCAGTGAGAAACTGCTTCATGGGCATCCTTCATTAGTGTCTTTTAACCATTTTTTTCTCACCCACCAAATAGCATTTTCTCATAGTTTCAGGGAATGTGTGATTTAGGAAAAGAGGTAAGCTTTGGAAATGAGGTATATCTCTGCAAAAATACTCAGGTCGACTTACCCCCAGTAAAAAATAAAAAGTAGGGTAAAAGAAAATAACTTGAATTTTGTTCATCTTCTATGAGAGGTATTTTCACAAGATTTTAGCTTGCAACTGTTATCTAGAGAAAACTGTGGTGAAAATAACTTACTGAAATGTGATTATCCTCCCCCCACAGTCTGTTTGCACTCTACCTGTGAATTCATATGTTTTTTTAGTGTCATCATTAATCTCCATCCTTAGTCATGAAAAAGTTCTTGAGGTACTGAAAAGGACAGTATTTCGTGCTATTAAAAGACACAATATCATATAAAGTATACTTTTTCCATAGTCCAACTTTGCTTTACAGAGATTATGAGAGGATTAAAAATAATATTCAATAACAGATATTCAGAAAATTAGTGGCTCTGGATAAGAAGTATTCTTGTAGTATGTAAAATGTCTTACTATTTAATAGCATATATTTAACAGTACAGTGATTTTCTAACTTTTTATGAAGACCCACTGTAAGAAATACGCATTACATCGTTTGTGTCTCCTAAACTCAAAAGTGTTGTGAAATTACTTATCCATGCTGCAAGTTATGCAGTTTGCTATTTTATCCTTTATTCTATTTCATTTAAAAAAAATACTGGCCCTGATTCACTAAATTGATTACACAATCCACTAATGGGTTACAACTCTTAAGTGTGAAAAACAGTAATATATTATAGTATATATTGTTCTTTCTATGGATGCTTTTTGATATACTTTAAACCCATAAAAATATTGTACTATGCAATATATATTTACTTGCTGTTTAAAGATATAAAACCATCCTAGCCCTGTTTTAAAACTAAACTTCAAAAGTTAGTGGCTTATATGAATTTAACATTGCTTTGGATTTCTTTTTCAGAGGGAAATGAGAAAGATTTTACCTTAAATGATTTTGGCTTCATGATCTTCCACTCACCCTTCTGCAAAATGGTTCAGAAATCTCTAGCTCGGATGTTGCTGAATGATTTCCTTAATGACCAGAACAGAGATAAAAATAGTATCTATAGTGGCCTGGAAGCCTTTGGGTATGAGAAGTTGTTATGGTTTTTTCCCTTCTGTATGAGAATACTTTTTATGTTAAACTATTTTTATACAGTTCTGAAAATTTTAGAATTAAAAGGATCTTAGAAGTCATCTAGTCTAACTTACTTATGTCATCAGTGAAGAAACTGAGTCCCAGAGAAATGGTGACTTACTTACATGAATTCTTTAGTCATTGTACTCATATTTTCCGATTTCTTCTTTTTAGCTCCTTTCCTGTTGTCACCATGATAATATAGCCCCACAAGTGCCTATATTTACAGTAGCCTCTTAACTCTTCTCCCTGCCTCTCTCTAGCCCCTGTGCCCCATATCTATTCTGTACATTGCCACTGTCAAAGTCTGCTGTCATATTTCTCACACATTTTTTTCTTTAAAGGCTCCTTAGCATGCTATGATTTTTAAACTCATTCTGTTTCTCCTTGCATGTGTCCCTTCTCCATCTGATAAAATTCTACTCAACTTTTAAGACTTGGCTCCTGTAATATAATGACTCTCTCAACTAAATAGACATTTTCGTAGACTTAAAATAGTAGTATATTGTTTGGTGATAACAAAGCTTTTTAGTGGGTTTGTTAACCTATTAGAATTAAGTTGTCTTAACGTTATAAAAAACGTTATAAAAAACATTGAGAAAAAGGACTGAACAACAATTACACTTTCCATAGCAGTTAGCATGTTGTTATTTGGCTTTTAACAAATGGGAAAATAGAATCATACACACTTGCAGATTAGAATACTGATTGCGTACAGTAATATAATAAGAATATAGTCTTTGAACACTGTTTAACTATCTTGTTTACAAATCTTTCAGGGATGTTAAATTAGAAGATACCTACTTTGATAAAGATGTGGAAAAGGCATTTATGAAGGCTAGTTCCGAAATCTTTAATCAGAAAACAAAGGCATCTTTGCTTGTATCAAATCAAAATGGAAATATGTATACATCATCAGTGTATGGTTGCCTTGCTTCTATTCTAGCACAGTAAGTATAAATTTCAACTATTTAACTCCCTTCATTTGGGGAGTGTTAGCATTCTAAGACCAAATTTGATGCCAGGCACGTTAGTGTCATGTCACAGAATATTTTATTTCCAGGCTCTTTAGCCTATTTTCCATTGACTTGAAGGATACATGGGGTGAGGCTACAGTTATTCCAGGGTATTTAATTTCACACTAGCTTTTCTGGCTACTGTTCTCATGGTTTTATTACTTTTGACCTTCAGTTGAACCATAAATCCCTTATTGACAAAGTAACTTATTTGAGCCTCGTCATTCTCAAGGAGATGGAAATGCTTGTTTCAGTCTGCTTACCATAGTGATAAAGCTTTAGGTTAGGTCTCTAAGTCTATAGGATAAATTTTTATTCCAACTCCTCATAGCTTCCTATACATCATAGTTTTAGGTCATTTAAACTTCTTAGTAACTTTTTCCTCCCTACACAGGTTCTCACCCCAGCAGCTGGCAGGAAAGAGGATTGGCTTGTTCTCTTATGGTTCTGGTTTCGCCGCCACCCTGTACTCCCTTAAAGTTACACAGGATGCCACACCAGGTAAATACTAGCCTTTCAACAAGAATGTATTGAGAACCAGCTGTGGTAAGGTCAGTTCCGCAAGCTTCTCAAGCAAGCACTTGAATCTGCTCCATATGTTATAACAACATTTTAATATTCATTACTTCTTCCAACATAGCCAGATTTTTACTCTCTAATCTAAAAAAATCCATCTTAACTGGGTAAAGGGCAGGACTATGTCTGAGTTAGGATATCTTCTCTCCTTCCTTCCAAGTCAGAAAAAAAATAGATCAGCTTAAACATTTTTTGACTTTTCCTTTTTTGGCAGGTAACTTTATCTTTTAACTTGTATTTTAAGGATATATAGTCAGGGGAAAGGGAAGCATATCTGTTTGATGCAGGCAGCTTTTGAGGTTTTACTCTAATGATTGAGTCTGATCACATGAGTAAATAACATCAAATAATTTCTCATTTTCTCATATCTAAATTATCTAATTTTTATAGCTTTATGGTCTTGGCTATATTTAAAGGAACTTCTTTGCTTTCTCTGAGCTAGAAGGAGCAAAAACATGGAAAAAAACTAGTGGTAGACTTGGCATTACATTAAAATGTATCACGGATTGACTATAGACAAGCTATTTATAGTTTTAAATCTCATCTATTTCCTATCTTGTCTACTGGCTAACACTGAACAAATGTTTAGTCAGAGGTCATAGGAAGCTTTGTCAAACAGATACCTTATCTTTTAACTAAACAATAGCTAGTAGTTCTAAAAGGAATGAAAAGGTTTTTTTTTTCCCCCATTTGGCAACATTTTTTTCAGGCTATTTTTGGTTTTTTAATGTTGGAATTATTATTTTAGGGTCTGCTCTTGATAAAATAACAGCAAGTTTATGTGATCTTAAAACAAGGCTTGACTCAAGAACTTGTGTGACACCAGATGTCTTTACTGAACACATGAAGCTCAGAGAAGATGCTCATCTCTTGGGTAAAAATATTGTTGTTAATATACATAAATATACACCCAAAAGTATATTAGGGGGATATAACAATGTGTTATGTATAAGATAAATATATCTAGCTATCTAGGCTATATTCAGTATTAATCTGACGTTAGTGAAAATTATAGGGAAATATGCGACTTGATAAGTCACAGGTCATAACTAATTTCACATATTCTCTGCCTTTTCTTTAGTCAACTATATTCCCCAGAGTTCAATAGATTCACTCTTTGAAGGAACATGGTACCTAGTTAGAGTGGATGAAAAGCACAGAAGGACTTATGCCCGCCGCCCCTCTCCAAACGATGACACCTTGGATGAAGGAGTAGGACTTGTGCATTCAAACACAGCAAATGAGGTAAATAAAGCTCATTGCATTTGGTCTTGGGCTTTGCCGGGTAAAACTACCATCCCCAGATCTCAGGGTCTAGGGGACCTAACTAATTAGCAACTCTAAGGAATGTCAATAAAGCACAGTAATTCAGAGCAAGGGCTCTGGGATTAGATTCCAGCTGTGCCATTTTCCAATTATAGAAAGTGGTTTGTGCTTAAATTATTAGCATTTTAAAAGTTCACAGTAAATACTGAGTTTTATTAATAGTACCAGAAGTTAAAAGAAGACAGACCTAAAGAGAAGGCTCATCTGTGGTAATGTCTTGGTGAGAGATGAAGTAGAGAAGGGTGTTGAGACCCTCACATCTCTTCTCAGGTCATTGTCAGATCTACCTCCAAAATTATCAAGAAGTAATATAATAGTTATGTTTTGAATTCCTGTCATATGCTAGGTACTTAATTTACATTTTTCTAATTTAATCCTTATAAAAACCACCTTGAAATAAATGATACTATGCCCATTTTAGAGATGAGGTTGCAAGAAGTTAAATGACTTGACTAGGATCATAGCCAGTCTTCAAATTGAAGACTTTATAACCTTGAAGTTATTTATCTGCTCGTGACAAATTTGGTGAATGCATAGTCTTGCTTCTTGCTATTATATAAATTAGGTAGCAGGTCAAGCTACTAGTATCTGAGTTGAGAATGCAAGATGTAACAAGTAAAATTCTGTGTCTGGTGGATCTCAGTGGCCTTCCTCTCTCTTACTACATTGCTAATTGTATTAATAAATTCACTATAAGGTAAAGGAATGGATATTTAGTTCTCTATAAAAAATTACATAGAATATACTATTAGCATAAGCCTCTCCAAAATTGTTCTCTCGGTTTTTCCGTTGGAACTTCAATCAGCACCATGACTCTTTAAAACAAAACATGAGATAACTTTTTTCCTTGGTTTTAGCATATTCCAAGTCCTGCTAAGAAAGTACCAAGACTCCCTGCAACAGCAGCAGAACCGGAAGCAGCTGTCATTAGTAACAGGGAACATTAAGATAATTCTGTGAGGTAGAAGACTTCGGTGTGGGTTGGGGTGGGTGGAGTATGTATGGAAATGGTTAGGAATGGGATGTCTGGGGACAATTTTAAAGGATTACATGTTGCTTAAATTTTTATGTAACTGACATGGAGCCTGGAAAACTATTGTGTCTTTGGGAAAGTCTCTTTGCTCAATTTGCTAATTTGCTTCCTATTGTGGTCTAGCCAATGCCTAATGTATTCAAATGATGTTAAGGGCTCTGTAAAACTTCATACCTCTCTGGCCATTTGTATGCATGAAGCTTAGTGTGTAAATGTGGTATGATGAATTGTATGCTTCTGGCAGAAAAAAACAGAGGTACTAGTTCTACAATTCTAAGTTTTTTAAACGTGTAGGAATTTTATACTTTGAACAAACAAGATTACTGAAAGTACCTGTGGTTTTTGAAAAAAAGTTTCTAGGTTAGGGGATGTGGTCTTAAAAGTGGCATGCACAAACCCTGTTTGAAAACGGCAAGACAAACATGCTCTTTTTCTAAAATTTATAAATATTGAAGAGAGAAGAATTGGGACAGTAACACTGGTTCTGGAAAGTGGAATGTTGCTTTAAATCCAGGCTAGCAGTGATGAATTGTGAACAGAGCTGCTAGCATTGAGCCAAACATCTGGTATAGACAACATGGCACATTTGGGAGCTGTGTGTGTAGGTCTAGGTCTGCTCCTGAATCAGTACAAGGTGGGTTATGCTGAACAACACTGAGATGTTACTGGAATGTGTATATGAGGAAGTTTGCTGTTGCAGTCCTTCTTTGTACCTTATTTTGAAGAATAAATAAAAACTTTTTCTTGGTTGCCTTTTAAAAATTTTAAACAAAAAGGAACAATAGAGACAAACAGTTGTTAAGTTCTGATGCTTCAGTGTTATAAATTCAACTTAAAAGACTGACAACTTAAATTCATGGTGTTAGTATTCTATTCCACTTAAAAAAAAAATCTCTTCAATGAAACTAAAAAGGTAAAACTCAAGTTTTTACATAGTATGACTGGCCAAACTGAATATTCCACTTCATGATCTGGAAGTAGGATCGATAAAGCATTTTCTCAGACTTTCACCTTAAACTATCACATGGGATGAATAAGGCTGGTTAGACAGTTTCGTAGATCTTTTTGGTGCTGAACTATGACATGAGCCTTATAGATTGTAAAATAAAGATAATTGGAACTAATGTACAGAATTAAATTTTTTAAATTTTGCTTTAAATTCTGTGAAGTTTCACTTATCTAAAATAAACAAATATGAAATGAATGTTTGAAATTACAAGGTAATATGTAATGTAGTGTTTGTAAAATACTCTTGTCTAATATTAACCAGTGATATTTTGATTTGTACAGTTATAATTTGCTAAAATGACTTCATTTTATCATCCACTGATGTAGATTAATAATGTAAGTTCAGATTTAAAGATTGATGGGAAAATGTGCATGTAATACTTTTGCAAGTATTGGGAGTTGGGTATGTTTTCAAAAGAATAATTTCACTTTTGAGTGTCAGAAAATGGGTTTTTTCAAAGTCTGTTACCAGCAATGGGCAGGCCTAATAATGCTGGCACAGAGAATTAACTGTACGCCTTATGAATAGTGAGGTGAGTAACTATGAATAAAATTTTAGAGAAATATTTCAGATACTTGAGTAATCCTTTTCCCTCCTGAACTAATATTTAGGCAAGAAAACAGTTAATTCGCTATTTTTAAATATGGGCATTCACTCATTCAGTCATCAACGAACATTCAAAAACATGTAAGCAAGGCACTCGCTTAAGTCAGAAATAAAGATTTACAAGATATCTGGTTTTGCCTTCAAGGAACAGGTTATTTGTCTAGAATAGAGGAATTTATACTGATAATTAAGTCCCAAGTTGGATGGTAAGGGTGTATGAAGTTTGCTATAAATCTTTCTGAGGAGAGTTACTTTGTTTTCCTAGAAACAATTTAAGATTAAAGATTGGCAATTGAAGATTAAAAGCCAGTTTTATAGCTGACGTAGAACTGCTTCCTACCAGCTAGGGCGCCAGCTTCAGGGCTGCATGTTGCTTATGCTCCCACGGGTTTTACAGGGAGAATTTTTGCGTTAGTAAATCTGTAATCTCTAAGAGTCCTATCAACTCTTGATATGAATTAGGAATTAAACCAGATTAATTTCTAGTACCGATCGGCTCATATTTTGTCATGTCGTATCTAGATTCAATACTTAGTAACAATTTCTTTTATTTTCTGGGCCAGTCTGCTATCCCTCTGGGTCATTTACAAAATAAGGCCAGTGTTCTCTCTCTAAGGTTATTTTCACACATTCTAGAATCCTAATTAATATGACTTTAAAAGTTCTATCCTTCCCCTTCTTATGGGATTTATGTACTTTTTTCTAACTTTGGGGTTTTTCTTTATTTTTATGAACACTAATGAGTAAGGCCAAGATTAACACTAGACAAAACTCAAATAGATGCAAACAGTTAATTTGATCTTGTGACTTAGTTGAAATACTTCATCTCTTGTCTGCTGTTTGAAATGTCCTGAAAGAAACAGTAAAGTGGGAATCAACAGAGCAAGAAATGTAACAGGATCTTTAAATAATTTAGAGCTATGCGATCTTGACATAAAAGTGAATACTTTCTTTAAATTTTCTAGCAATTGCTCTCAATTGAATCATAGGTTCCCCTTTTTTTTTTAATTTGTGGTAAAAGAAAATAGATGACCTGTGATTGATCCCCCAGCATCCACTCTCCAAATTAATATAAAGGCAGTAATATGATGATGAATGCCAATCTTCAGGGAGTTTCGATATCAGGACTCTAGCATATAATAAAAAATGCATTTGCATTTTAAAAGTTTACAGATAAAAAACTGGGAATTCATCTTTTATTTATCCTATTTTGTCATTGTCCAGGCATACAGTAAAAAAAAAAAAAAAAGTTTTATTAATTTTGCAAAAGCCTCCTTGCCTTCATGTTTTTCACATGCTATTAAACTAGCATCTCCAACCCATCTTGGCAAAACCTTGTTGATCTTTGGGGTCCAACTCAACAGTTGCTTCCTCTCTGAAGGCTGCATTGACTACCTTATTTGGTAGTAAGCACTTTTCCCCCTATGTATCAAATTTCTTATTCAGGTTCGCAAACTCCTATGTATCTGGTCCCTGCCTCCTGCCCACTTCAGCTCAGTGCTACACTCATCCTGCCTTTCATTCCTCAAATATGCCAAGTGTATTGTAGCCTTAGAGACCTTGATCTATGCCTCAGAAACCTTGAGACCCACTTCAGACCTCTGCCCTGCCTTCTACTGTCACTATTGTGGCAACTGCTTCCACGCAGTCTTTGAGCAGGATCTCAGACTATGATAGCACCTCCCTTTAGATTCGTGGTACATAACTTTATTTCAACCTCACTGTGATGTGGAATCCCCAGGTAACTCATTTGGTACTCAAAATTTCACAGCCCAGAAGTGCAAAGGAGGTAAGTTCCCATAGCCCTTGACCAATGGTAGACACATACTGGTGAATAAATGCTTCCTCCTTTCATCCCCCGGGCAAACAGTTTTGAGAAGCATTCAGGATATCCTACAGAATCAACTATCAGTTTCCTGTGGCCAATTCAGCAATGCCTCTGTGTATTGGCTTTCTTCTTTTCTGTTCCACTCCTGTATCCTGGGATCATTTCCCAAATAAATGGCTTGCTTGCAAACTTTTGTCTCAGGCTCTGCTGTTCTGAAGAATTCAGGCTAAGAATTGATACCCAGAATAGCCTTATAAAGCAGCCCCTCAAGATAGGAGGCTTACTCATCAGTCATGACAAACACCCCGTTGCCATTTGTAGTAGGTAGAATGATGCCCACCCCCCTTAAAAAAAAAAAAATGACCATCTCTGTACCCTGAAAATATTATCCTGCATGGCAGAAGTAAGATACGATTAAGGTGAAGGGTATTGAGATGGGATATTTCCCTAGATTGTCTGGATGAGCCCAGCCAAATCATATGGGTCCTTAAAAGCAGAGAAACTTTATGGGCCATGGTCAGATGTGGCTATTATGGGTGGTCAGAGAGATGCACATTGCCGGCTTTAAAGATGGAGGAAGGGAACCACGAGCCATGGAATGTGAGCTGCCTCCAGAAGCAGGAAAAAGCAAGAAAATGGGTTCTCCCCTAGAGCCTCCAGAAAGGAACCCAGCCCTACCACCACCTTGATTTTAGCATGATGAGGTGCATGATAGACTTCTACCTCACAGAACTGTAAGATAATTGTGTTTTAAGCCACTTAGGTTTGTGGCAATGATTACAGCATCCGTAGAATACTAACACACTGTTGGTAAGCAGGGCGCCGACCACCCCTGGCATGCAGGAGCAACATGGTTACTACTACCAAGACTCATCTGTAGGTATAGGTGGATGACGAAGCACTGAATCGTGCAGTACCTGTGGTACTTGACCAGTATGGGGACAATGATAAAGACTGGGTCTGACGAGCTTTTAGTAACTTCTTTGAAAGTCTGGGGAAAAAAATAACAGGCTTATGTCAGCCAGCTATCAACCCAAGGCCTATTGTGAGACCCCAAGGGACTTTGAGGCAAGGGTTAAGGAGAGCCTTATCTCCTGCAGCAGAGGGAAACTGCCTGAAAGAGGCCCAGGATCTAATTGTAAGGTTGGCTGAGCTGCAAAAGAGAGAAAATAGTCCTGAAAATTCTCCTTTATCAAAGTCAGAGCCTTGATAGGAAGAGAGTATAACACTGGGGAGTAAGGAACAAGAGTGTAGACGAGCCTGAAAATGTTGAAAACCAGATTCCCCTAATGTGGAGCTGGCAGGAGAAGCTCATTCTTCCTTACCCAAAGACCTTGCCAAGGCCTCTAGTGAGGCAGATGCCTGCAAGATGATGCTTGACCTCCTCGAGATCCTCTTCCAATAAATACCCTTATTATTCTCCAAACTGAGAACTGGGTCGAGTCTCAACACAGCCTGAGCAGAGAAATACAATCTCTGCATGGAAGGAAATAGCTTAGACACTGAAGGAATTGCAGAGCCTGGCTAATATGTACCATAAGGAACCAGGGGAAAATGTGTGTGAGTGGATCTCGAAGGTATTGGGCCAATGGTGGAGGTTGAGGGAAGAATATTAGGCAGGATAAAGGAGAGTTTATTGTCATGGGAGCATTTACCTGTGACATGGAGTGAAGGACTCCTAAAGCTGGTTCTAATATCCTGCTGGGATGGTGTTTGAGGTTGGATATGAGTATGGCACACAGTAAATGAGGTGGACATAGGGGAAGTGTTATGGCATAATATTAAGGAAAGGATCAGAAGATTCCAGGACGTGTGAATATTAAAATGGATTCATTATATGATGAACAACCCAACTGTATTCCCCAGGAGGACTTTACTTTCATTAAGGCAATAAAGAACGCTCAGCGTCTATGGAAATGTCAGCGATGGCTGCCCACTGCAGACAGATTGACAGTGGGAAATACTGCCATGGGACTGAACATGCTATGTGTTATAAGTGGGGATGATGGGATTCTAGAAAGGCAGAGGCCGTGTTATTATTACTTAAATATCAGAGATGAGGTGGACATCATATAATGAACGGGAAGGCTGGAGTGAAAATTAGGGCACCTTGATCCGCAGGGTTTTGTGATAACAGCTAAGAGATCACAGAGTTCTAAGTGACAGCTGCATAAGTGTAACTTGACTATACAGCAAGGTCTTCTTGAGGAAAAGCCCAGATGCCACAAGTATATGCAATATACATGCCCAGAATATTTAAGGACTGTTGGATAAAAAAGTCTAGATTGAAATGAATACCAGGGAACCATTATGGCCCTTTGTGTAGATGGCGGCTTTTGGAAACCAGATGGATGGAGTCCTGGCCTAAGTCGGTTTCAAAATGGGTCCCACCTTTGGGTTTCTTACCCCAGTCTCCAAGTATATATTTGGGATAAATATATTTAAATCCCTGACCTGTGGAGTAAGTAAGAGCCATTATGGGAGAGTCACATGGGAACTTCTGAAAATGTACCCTGTTAGTAAATCATGAGCAATCACAAGAGAAAATGCAGACATCAGTGTCAACATCAAAACTTTTTTTTTTTTTTAAAGGACACAAAGATAATGGGCTCCATCATAACCTTATTTACTTAACTTATTCACCAGACTCTCAAAAAGAGCAGAGAAGTAATAGATGAGGGTGGACTGCTGTTAGTCTGTTGGCATTGATATGCAGCTATTGTTCTGCTTAATTTCCATCAGAAAGGAGGATCAAAAGTAGTTCACATTTCTCTGGGATGGACAGCAATGATTTACTCTGTTGCCCCCAGGTGATGTTAAATCTGCTCTATGTCATAGTGTAGTCTAGGAGGAGCTTGGTCATCTTGACATTCTGCAGAAACAGCATTCAAGGTAGATTTGGTGTCAGTGGCAAGTACTCCAGATGCCCTAGTAAGATTTATGTGTACCAGCATGTGTGTGATAAACTCCATGACAAATCAGGGGCCTGCCACACTGAAGAAGTATTTAGAGGTCTAATGACCTGAGGCATGCCTACATATCCAGTAAGGGATAACTTGTTGCACCTTGTATCTCTTAGCACTGGGATAGAGGCACAAGGTTTAGCAGGCCCCTCTGGAAGCACATATGTTGTACTCAGTATATTCTTCTAATCCATTTATCAGGGCTGGTGAGCAGAAAGCACAGTTTCAAGTGGATCCCACCAAAAAAAAAAAAAAATCCAGTTTTAGGATTTGGTCCGAACTGCACTGCTACACTGGCTTGTACATGTGGCAGTGAAGAATATTTTGTGGAGTCTCTGGCAATCCCAGTAGAAGGTTACAGCCCTGGAGGTCCTGGAGAGAGGCCATGCTTTCTGCAACAGAGAACTACTCAGGTTCCTGGCATGCTGCTGCACCCTCATAGAGACCGAGCAACTGATTATGGGACATTAAGGGACCAAGCAAATGGAGCTGCCTCCTCATGAGCTGGATCCAGAGTCATAAATTCAGATGGGCACAGCAATGATTTAGCCTTATTGGAGCTGACATCTACTCAGGTTCTGGGTTTGCCTTTCCTGCCTGCAGTGTATCCTCCAATACAGTCATGCTACAACATAGAGAATATCTGATCCATTATTATGGTATCTCATATAACATCACCTCAAGGACCACCTTTTTTGCAAAGGCAGTCATGCAATGGGCACTGGACCACCAAATCTATTCATCTTAATATATATTCAACACCAGAAGCAGCCAGCATAAATAGAACAATGGAGTGGCTTAGCTAAGGCACTGACTATAGGACAGTACCCCCAGGGTTGAGGTACTGTCCTTCAGGATTCAGTATACAAGCTTTAACAATGGCTGATAGATATGTGTCCCCATATCGTTAAAATACACAAGTCTGGGAACCAATGGGTAGAAGTAGAGTTGATTTCTCTCCCCATCACAATGATCCACTTGAAGGATTTCTACTTCTCTTTCCTACAACCTAGGCTCAGCTAGATGAGAGGTTTTGGTTCCAGGGGGCAGGGAATGCTTTCACCTGGACCCAATTCACTGGACCCTTCCTGGACCCTGGAAAGGGTGGAGTGAATCTGGACCCCAGAAAGGGTCACTTTGGGATAACCATGCCAGTTGACAAGCAGGCAAAGAAAGGAGCCGTTATACTGGTGGAGATTTTGACCTTGATTATCATAGGAGTTAAAGAGGGGTATGTCTGTAACCCAAGAGATTCACTGGAGTGTCACTTTTGGGCCTCGTGATAACAGTGAGTGGGCAATTGCAGCAACAATGGCAGCAACAAAGGTAAGGCGGCTAAAAGCTCAGGTCCTTTGATGAGAAAGGTCTGGGTCAGACTACTGAATCTAGACCAGCCGAATGCCGGCCAAAGGTGAAGGAAATTTAGAATGAGTGAGGGAGGGATGAGTTTAACCTCAAGACGAGCTGCGGTAATGACTGTAGCTCAGTCATTTTCAAAATGTGGTCCCTGTCTAGCAGTAGCAGCATAACCTGAGAACTTCATAGAAATGCAAATTCTTGGGCCTCACTGCAGACATACTGAATCAAGAACTCTGGGGGTGGGGCCTTTAGCAAGACCTCCAGGTGATTTGGATGCGCTAGAATTGGAGGACCGCTGTTGTAGCTTGTTCTACTAATCCTGCTGCATTAAGTTCTTGCAGGTCTCACTACTCTGCAGAAGATGACTCTGCAACAGATTGGACTTAAACAGAGAGAGAATCTGAGTAGAGCCAGGGGTGGGGCTGGGCTCTATCGGACAGTTCCTGTGCACACTTCAGATCCTTTTAGCCATACTTCTCCTCCAGCCACTGATGCAGCGGCCGTTTCCATGCAATTTCTAACAGCTTCATGCAGATCCTACTTGACCACATCTTGTCTTAGGCCAGTGGTGCGTATGTACCTCTTACTTCCCGCTCCAGGGCTTCTCTGACACTAAGGCATGGGAAGCACAAGGGAACCCACCTGGCATTCATACAGCATAATCTGAAAGCGAAGGACAGGCAACACCGTGGGGCCACTCTTAACCAGTGGTGAACAGGGGCTGATGGACAAATGCTTTCCCCTTCTGTACCCTGGCCAGATACCTGGGATGTGTTGCCTAAGGCTCCTCAGAGGATCCAGCAGGACTGGTCAACTTGTACTGGCTTTTTTTGTTTCTCTCCCCTGCCCCTCACTCCCGCTCTCTAGGATCACTTTCCAAATAACAACTCTACACGGAAGGCTTTGTCTTGAGCTCCATTTAGGAAGAACCCTTAGCTGTCTAAAACCTGTCTAAAACCCCTAGCTGCCTGGTATGCTCTTGGCCTGCTTCTTATTCAGATCTCAGATTGCCATCTACTCAAAGTGACCTTCTCCAATGATCTGATACAACGTAGCGAGCTTCTAATATCAGATCATCCCATTTGAATTCTGTGCGTAGCATCTATCACTAATATTTTTTTTTTTAATTTTTTTAGTGCCTCTGTCCAGCACTAGAATATTCTGCATAAGACAGGAAGAACCTGGCCTTTTTTATTCTTTGCTTTTTCCTCAGCACCTTAAACAGTGCCTGGAACAGCAGCCACTGAATAAATACTTCTCGATTAAATGAATGAATGCTAGAGTTTGAGAACAAGAGAAGTTCGCAAATCGAGCCAGAATCTGAGCTAAGAGAACTTTTTCGGGGGCGGGGGGATGCATACCTTAAACTTAAATTTATTTAAAAATTACAAAAAATGTCTCCACCAAGTTGTCTGTGAAAAAAATTAAAAGCAGCAACAATGATCTTGGTTAATTACCAACAGTCTAGTGCAATTTATAAAATTGAACAAAATTTGGACGTGTGTCTTATGCCTCTGTAGACACGGGACCCTTTTTTTAGGTCCCTTTCTTTAGGCTCTGGCAGTATCATTATTGGGACACTTTCCAAAGCCTTTTTCCTTTGGACTCTGTGTAAAATAATTCGATAGACCCCTGTGATGGAGCTTCGGGCATCTCTCCCTTGGTTGTTTCGAATATGCTCTTCTGTAATACCCAAATGTTCTAAAGTGCTTTTGACTTCATTTTCTTCTTCTTTGAGGGTGCTGGTTTCTGACAAATGTTTCGGATCCAGTTGAAAAGGTTCCAGAGGGGTGGGATATGGCACCCCTTGCATCCATTCATTGTTCATGATGGAGTCAACCCCATACCTCTCAGTGGGTATGGGCTGAAGGACGCCCCGGATGAGTCGGAGGCAGGGCTCGGACACATATGGAGGCACGCTGTAGGTGCCCTCAAGGATGCTCTTCTTCAGTTTGGCCACAGTCTCTGCCCGAAATGGCATGGTGCCAGTCACCATGAAGTACAGAAGCACCCCCAAGGCCCAGATATCCACATACACGCCGACGTAGTGCTCGTCTCGGAAAAGTTCAGGTGCAGCGTAGGGAGGAGACCCGCAAAAAGTGTTCAGCATTTCACCTTTTTTACTCACTGTGCTGAATCCAAAATCACCCACTTTCACACAAGTATTACTAGTATAGAATACATTTTCTGCTTTCAGGTCTCTATGAATAATTTGATTTTCATGCTGTGGAAGAAGACATAGGAGAAAATAATCATTTCCAAAGTAAAATATCAACATAAAAAAAAATGCATCAGTTGCTTTGAAACAGTGTGATGGTGTAATAACAGAAATTCAATGCTGATTAATCATGTCAGCAAACCTCGAGAGCTGCCCGGTCATAACTTTTTGCCACACACAACACCCACATGCCCCAAAGAGATGACAGGTCTTATTCTTCCGTGGATTAAGAATTGGAGTCTGTCTTGCACGTGTGAACTCAGGAATAATGCCAGATCTTATGAAACTACATGTTCTGAAACACAATGAAACAGTAATCCTTCATTTTTGAGGCCATAGACAGATTTTTCTGGCTCAGCAATCTCTTGACAAGGGCCAACATCACGAAGGCTTGGAGCCCTCTGCAAGCTTTCCAACCATGCTCCTTGGGGTAGGCTCCTTCATAGAATTCAGTAGAAGGGAGGAGGTTATGTTTGACAAGCTCCTAGTAGCAGATCCCACTGTGGGTTGTGAGCACATGCCCCCACCCCAACCCTTGCATTCTGAAACCAGACAAAAAATCTTGAGGCCCCTCGACTTGTTCAGTCCCAAGGGCTCTGGGGGAAATGGTGTAATGTTACTTTTCCCCAAGGGCCTCCTGTGATAAGAATCCAGGGTTTGGAGCCTGGCAACTGGTTAATTCTAGGTTCAATGATGCCACGCGTATTGTGACTGTCAGTTTTCTTCTTTGTAAAATGGGATACTGATAGGAACCTCATGAAGTTGTTCTGAGAACTATATGTGATGCTGTATCTGCAATGCTCAGCATGGTCCTGGCTCACAGTAAACACACTCAGTAAAATCTGGAACTATGTCTATGATTTACTCTTCCTCTTTTCAGAGACCAGAGAGCTGTGAGAAATGTCAGGGACAGAGCTGCAGAGGACTCAATCTGTACTCTCTACTGCTGGGTTCTCTTCTGGTCTCTCACCAGATTTCTTTTCCAACTAGAATATGAAAGATTGTTTTTCCACCTGTTCTATTGCATGATATGAATCTGGCTTGGCCCTGACCCTGATAAAGATAACCGCAGTACAGGCCACTTAAATTGACAACTCACGGTGGTAAGTACTACAGGCCTAAAACACCCACCACCATTACAACCAGGTTCTTCTCTCTTGCTCACTTCTTTTTTACCCTCTTAGACTCCCCCCACCCCACTATCTTGGGTTCCCCAGCTTACTAATTCCCCTGCTAATAATTTATCCAGGAAGTCATTGATCCCAGTCCTTGACCCACAACGACCAGGCAAAGGAGTAATCTGGAAACGGCCTCTCAACTAATATAGACTCCACGCAAGTGTCTTTTTTCTGTCAGTTGGACTGAGATCTGGGTAAAGAGGGTAGTTCAAACTTCTGCACTAACAGAGTCATAAAAGTGGTAGTCAGGTATGTAAATCAAGTTCCTCCTGTGTGCCCAGCATAAGGGCAGCGATAGAAAGGAGGCAGAAGAACCAGTTCTTAAAGGAACCAGGGAGTGTGCTCCAGGGGTCCAGATTTATTTAAAGAAATAATTGCAGAACTAAAATAAGAATGACATAATCAAGTGTTAATCTGCTGAGCACAGAGGCAGCAAGAGCTTGAGATGTTCGCCAAAGTCAAGAAGATCCATGTGAGCTGAAGTGGGGTGGAAAAACGTTTCAGAGAAAAGAGACAGAACTGAGCTGGGTCATGAAGTGTGAATAGGATTTGGAAGAGGAGAGGTGTGAAGAGGGCAGAGGGCATTCTCAACACAGAGTTAGGAAGGCAAGGCCAAGAAGCAACGAGGAGCCAGATCTTCAGGTAATGGAAGGTGAGAAGTGGGTGTGGCCAGGGAGTGTGTGGTGGTCATCCAGCTGCCCAGAGTGACTCCTCCCAACTTCCTCCGAAGCCAGGAGGCTGCCCTGTAAATGGGGATCCTTGGGCATTGCCTGAGCAGCAAGGAGCATGATGCCAGTCAGGATTCTGACTCTCACAGGCTTCTGTCTCTGGACACTTGGATGATGGAAAACTAAAGCCCCATGCTCCCATCGTGAGTAGAATAAGAGAAAGACTCGGGCCCACTCACCATGTGCTTCACGGCAGACACGATCTGGGAAAAGATGAGTTTGCTTTCTGGTTCTGAGAGCTTCCCCTCAGTGCTAATTTTCCCGAAGAGCTCCCCACCGCCTGCATACTCCATCACCAAGTGGAGTTTGGATAGGGTCTCCACGACCTCGTAAAGGCGGATGATGTTGGGGTGATGCAGTTTTTCCATGCTGGAGATTTCGCGGGATAGTAGCCGTTGGGTTTTCTGGTCTAACTTGGTCTTGTCCAGGATCTTAATGGCCACTTTTTCTAGTGGGGGGGAAAAAAGGTCAAAGGTTATGCCAGTGTTCACAGGCTCATAGAAATTTCGAACTGGAAGGGACCTAGATCTGCCCCTTTATTTTACTAGACACGGAGGTTAAAGGGCAGTTCCCGTGCTCACAGAGCTTATCAACGGTGATGACAGAGAGCAAAGTTCTTGAGTTCAACATCAACATTCATCCCTGATCATCGGTGTGTCTTCCACACACAGGTGTTGATGCCAACGCCTGCCTCCCCAGGAGGTTTCAGTGCGATGATCTTTATCCAGTTTTCTGGATAAGTTAAAGCTCCTTTGCTTGGCTGAGAATGCCCCTCTTGATCAGACTCTGCCCATCTCCTGAATCTCATCATCCATCACTCTAGGTCACCATCCTCACCTCCCCATGCACAGCTTCAGTCCAATTGTTGCAGAAGGTTTTGTTGTTCCCTGAAAAGGGGCTGAACATTCATGCCTAGGACTTTTCTTCTACCTGGATCATTTCTTCTATCTGGTTCATGTCCCCTTCCCTTTTCTTGACTCGGTTCATTCCTGATGGCCCCTCAAGGCTAGGCTCAGAACCAACTTCTTCCAGGAAGCCTTCTATGACTCCTGTCCTAGGCAGATCATGGCATCCAGGTTTGGGGTATTCTCTGTACTACCATCTCAGCACACTGGCCTCTAAATGTTGACTCCTTGTTAGTCTCCTCCTCGTACCCCCTTCCTCGTGTAGGCTATGTTTTACTTGGATGCATAGTACTCAGTGTGTGGAGTGTTGGCGAGGGCATAAGGAGGCCGGCACTGTGGGAGCGCATGGGCATAATGGTTCTGGACTATAGTTTGACATTTTTGTATTGAAGGCCTTAAAAGTGGTGGCACCCTTTGACCCAACCATTTCACTTTGGGCTAGCTATTGCAATCCTTGGTTGACCTCACAGATTGCAAGGACCTTGTCAGCTTACAATCTCCTATTTTTTTTTTTTTTTTACGCCTACAGCACCTGGTCTTCCTAGGTGGTCTCCCATCCAAGTACTAACCAGGTCCGACCCTGCTTAGCTTCCGAGCTCAGGGTAGCGTGGTCATAGACTCACTTTTGGCAATTTAATATTAAAGAAATCACCTGACACATGTACAAGATTGTGTGGGTAACAGGACTTCTGTGATATTGAGAACAGAAAGAGAGATGGTACACCATACAGCTATCAAAATAATGATGTTGATCTTTATTTATTGACATGAAAAGATGTTCAATATGGAACAAGTGAGGAAAGTACAAACATACATTTGCATAGAAAAAAATCTGGTGAGATATTCACCAAAATGTTTAGAATAATTATTTTATTAATAGCGGGATCAGAGACAGTTTTCCTTTAAATTTTTCTTGCTTAGCTATATATTCTAACTTTCCTCCAATTAATTATATAATCTAATTATACAGTTAATATAGATTAATTGTGTAATAAAAATAGTTAACGTTTGAAAGTGAATGAATCTCTACTCCAAAGCAAAACTTCATTCATTTTTTGGTTCATACTGAACCAGGCTTTCCAGTAGATAAAAAGGATTTTCTAGGCAAGTAAACGGGGAGAACAAGACCGCAGGGCATCTGTTCGACCTACTTGCAAAACAATTGCTTTGAAGAACTTGGGCACAGTAGTTACCGGCATGAAAATAGACCGCCGCTAGTTTATAATAGGCGTGTTATTGGTGTATTACAGCAGGTACATTAGGGCTCCTAGAATGGAAAGAGGCAGGGTGCACTGGGGTCTGATACAGCCACACGTGCTCTGGGGGAGGCGATGCTGGAGAAGGACGAGGTGAGCCAGAACTGAGCAGGGCCCTCAGGGCTGTCATGTCAGTGGGCCGTGGGCCCCAGCAATGGACCATCAGCACCATGTTACCTGAAACAGAAACATCTGATTTTGTGTAGCCTATTGCATGAGCTGTTCTTTTAAAGGCAAGAATAATGAATTCCATCCTTCAATCTGGTAGATCGTCTGGAGAAGAGGCCACCGCCGCTCCTCGGTCCTCGCCCAGCGCTGGCCCAGACTTCCAGCAAAGTGCATGTCCCTCTCCTCTGCCCCTCAGCCACGTGGCAGCTGCACACGGCTCCCCACATTATGAGTGCTCAGGATCAGGTCATTGTGCAGTTCAGGCTGCTCTCGCACACCTCCCTTTAGCACAGTCCTCATTTTACTTCACTTTTTAAAAGTTCATATTTGAGTGGTTCTTAGCAAAAGCTATCCCTGGATGGCCTCGCTCTAGTCCAGACCTGTACCCTCCACTTTGTGTTAAATCAGATTATATCCACGTCTCATAACATACACGCATAATCATAGACGACGTTTAAAAAGCCCTGGCATTCCAAAGTGGTAGAAACTGCTGCTCCATGAAGGACTGGCTCTCTTCCAACAAATGTTCAGTGAGTCCCTACTGTGCACCAGGCAACAACAACAAAAACAGAAACTGTTCCTACAGTCCAGTGAGAAAGAGACTTTGAAAAAAGGCCCTAGTACAAGTGTGGCACAGGTTAGGAAGGGGAACAGATGGGAGACCAGAAAGGCCTCCTCAAGAAAGGACACTTAAGTCTGACCAGAACGTGAGGAGGGGGACCCCACACTTGGCCGTGGGAACGGCGTGTGTGTTCGAGGACCTGAGAGTACCCCCATCATGCTGGACACACAGAAAGAGGGCGCGTAGCCCTAAATCAGCCTGGAGTCGTGGGCAGGAGTCAGATAGTCCAGAGGCTTGGTGGCTGTGTTAAGAAATGTAGCCTTTATCCTGAGGGCAGTGGAAAGACATTACAAGGATTTAAGGGAGAGCGTCATAACCTGATTTCCATTTGGAATGAATACTCTGGCTGCAGTGTGGGAAATAGACAGAAGAGGAACAAGCCTGAGAGGGGGGCCGTGGTTTCGCAGGTGACAATAGCCATCCCAGAGGGAAGAGCTCTTGCTGGTGGCGGGGGAGAGCGAGAGAAGTACACAGACTTGAGAGGTAAGTCTGGTGAAGAGTCTGACACAGGTCCCACCTCGTGGGCAACACATCTCTTAACCCAGGACGTAGGAACTCGAATGTCTCTAGAGGACAGGGTGCTAAGTGGGTGGCAAGCTTATTGTAAGCCAATAGGGAGCAGTGGGGACTGTGGAATCCTGAGGAGTATGTGCCCCAGTGCAAAGGGGCAGCTGCTGCTCAATGCCAGATTGGTCCCATTTGGAATGTAGGCTTGGTGCTGTCAAATTTGATTTTTTTTTTTTCCAGAGAAGCCAAACATCTGAATTTTTATGCACATCTTCCAATTATTAATTGTCAGCAACTAATTCAAATTTTTAAACCTAGAATGGACCAAGCAAATATGTCTACGCAGGACCAAGGGGACAAGGGGAGAGAGCGGCTATTAGAACCTAGACAGTGTTGTGTAGCAAAAGCCGCCTTGAGGGGAGCTAAAACCTTCCTTCCAGACACATCGCCAGCCTGCGTCGACCTTACAGTGAGGGGCTGGGGGAACAGATGTCCAGCCCTCCCTCTCCTTCCTATGATCCCCTGCAAGGGCTCCCTACAGACCAAAGCCAACCGAAACCCAGAGGACTAAGGAGACTCCACGTAGTCCGGGACGGAATGCGGGATGAGGAGCGGGGCAGTCGGAAGGTCCCAGCACAGCGGCTCAGAGGGGAAGCGTGTGGGATGACTAGGGGATATACGCTTAGACTGGAGGTCAGGGAAGATTTTAACATTTTCCCCAGAGTCTCAGTAAGTGTTAGCTAGAGGAAAGCAGAGGAGCGGCATTAAGGGGAGGTTCTTAGACTAGGAATGTGTAGGAAAGAAGATCTTGAGGCAGGAAAGACCCTGATGCCTTAGGGTAATGGTCTTTAATTGGCTTCCTTTATCGATAAAATGTTTTCAAGTGCTACTCTAATATATGTATATTTACTTATAAATTAAATGCTTTCATGCTAATACACATAATCACAGAAATTGAAAAGACATAATTACAAATAAATATAAATGGAAATGCTAATATTTTCTTCCCTCATCCCAGTGAATCATCTCAGGCAGCCCCTAGGATATGGTAGGGAGACCACTCGGAGCCACCAACGACCTCCAAGTTGCTAAAACCAACAGTCAGTTCTTTGGCTTCATCCCTCCTCCTTGAAACACCTTTACCACTTGGTTTCTGGGACAACACACACCTGATTTTTCTCCTACTCCTTGCCGCTTTGATGGCTCTTTTGCTGTGTCCTTTTCATCCCTGTTGCCTCTAAATGTTGGATACCTGAAAGCTTAGTCCTTGGACCTCTTCTCTATGATTATTC